TAATCAAGAATTCGATATTGTTTATTTAGATTTTAGTAAGGCTTTTGATAAAGTACCGCACCAGAGACTGTTAAAGAAAGTGGCAGCTCATGGCATTGGGGGAAAGGTGCTGTCATGGATCGAGTCATGGCTCACTAATAGAAAGCAAAGAGTATGCTTAAATGGGGTTAAATCTGAGTGGGGATCTCTAGTAAGTGGCATACCACAGGGATCAACCTTAGGCCCACTGTTATAATATATATCAATGACCTTGATGAGGGTATTACTAGTGATATGAGCAAATTTGCTGATGACACAAAGATAGGTAGGATAATTGATTCAAAGGTAGATGTCAGGGAACTCCAGGAGGATTTAGACAAACTCTATTCTTGGTCAGAAAAGTGGCAGATGCAGTTCAGTGTAGATAAATGCAAGGTTCTGAAGCTCGGGAGTGTCCATAACCCTAGCAATTATAAGTTAAATAATGTAGAACTTAGCCATACAGATTGCAAAAAAGGACTTAGGGGTTATGGTAAGCAGCAACCTTAAACCAAGACAGCAATGCCTAAGCGTATGTAATAAGGCAAATAGATTATTGGGATTTATATCAAGAAGTGTAAGTAATAGAAGTCCAGAGGTTATACTGCAGCTTTATACATCATTAGTGAGGCCTCACCTAGATTATGCAGCTCAGTTCAGGTCTCCATATTACAGAATGGATATAAATTCGTTACAAAGCATTCAGCTATGTATTAACCCTTTCAGGGTTTCGGACATACTAGTATGGCTCATGCACCAGGGTTTTTGACGTGCTAGTACGCCTAAATTCTAGCGCCCTCAAATCTAGTGAGAGAAAGCTGGTAGGCCTACATATGAAAGAATGGGTCTATATGGTCAGTGTGCGCAGTATAAAAAAAAATCCTGCAGCACACAGTGCATAATGAGAAAAAAAACTTTGACTGTGTTTTTGGAATAAAACAGTGAGTTTGCACTGTATTTTCGTATGGTATTTATTGTTGTATTCTAGTTTTCCTGGCCTCATTTTATAGAATGGAAGACATATTACAGAAATTGAGATGAGTTTGACTGGTTTTCCAATGAAAAGTACCTTGAAATTGAGCTCAAAGTAGCAGAAATGTTCGATTTTTACCAAAGTTCAAAAGTAAACAAATCATGCTAAGCATCCAATACACATCAACTGGTGAGTCTAATATTCTTTTACAAGTGCACCGATATTATTTATACCATTTCTACACCAATGCAGTAGTCTACATAACAGTAAATCTTCTATTTTTTGTGAGAATAAAATTTCAAAGTGGAAAGCAAAAGAATGTAAAAGGGGCGTGGGGTCATGACTAATGAACAGAGGAAATGTTATTTTAGTGCCAGGAATGTCTTTCTTGTTTATTCTGGACCCTATTTGGAAATTGGCATCTTTTGAAATTTGTGTGAAATTGGCAAAATTGCAAAATTCTGATCACTGTATTGGATAGTTGTAATTGGTAAATGGGTGGTTTCTTGTACTCATTCGATAGAAAAAATGGAGTTCTAGCGAAATAGTTATGATTTTTGTCGACTAGTACAGTGGAATTGGCCAAAAATAGGGCTCAAAGTGGGCAAAATTGCAGATGCGTAAACATCGCCGAGACCGCTAACTTCGCAAGGGCACATTTCCCTAAGTTTTCCATCAAATCTCATACTTTTGGTGTCATTATGATCGGGAAAAGATTCTCTGTCTTTTCACAAGAAAAAATAATTTTTTTCTTTGTTTGAAATTTGGGGGACCCTGAGAACAAGTCTCTGAGAGGGCCTGTGGACCCTGAAAGGGTTAAAAAGGGGACAAGAAAAGCTAAAAGAGACTATGAAATTAAAGTTGCTAGGGATTCGAAAACTAACCCAAAAAGTTTTTTCCAGGTCTATAGAACGAAAGTTAGAGATAAGATAGGTCCCCTAAAATTAACTTTTGGCATCTTACTAACAAAGAGAACGAAATGTGCTCGATTTTAAATAATTATTTTCTCTCGGTTTTTACACAGGAAGACACTAACAATATTCCAGTAATTAGCTTTTATAGTGGGCCTGAAGAAGATAAATTATGTAACATCACAGTCACTAGTGAAATAATTATGAAACAAATAGACCGACTGAAGCAAAATAAGTTGCCGGGTCCTGATGAGCTTTTTTCAAGGGTTCTTAAGGAATGCAAAATGAAACTCTGTGAACTATTAACTAATATTTTTAATTTATCTCTTCACACAGGTGTAGTGTCTGATATGTGGAAGATGGCCAATGTAATTCCTATTTTTAAAGCAGGGGACAAGTCGTTACCGTCAAATTACTGCCCAATAAGCCTGACCTCAATTGTAGGCAAATTACTAGAGTCAATCGTAGCTGAGATTATAAGAACCCATCTCGATAAGCATAGCTTGATTAACCCTTTCAGGGTCCGTCCCGTAGATCTACGGCTTTACGGTGAGTGTCCAAACCGTAGATCTACGCCATGAGCTCAGCTCACTCTGATAAACTGTGAGTGGTACATTTGGGCCTAGATATGAGAGAATACATCTATGTGGTATGTGTGCACCACATAAAACAGATCCTGCAGCACACTGTGTATAATGAGAGAAAAAACTGAAATCATGATTTTTCGATTAAAACAGCGACTTTGCAGTGTTTTTTCGTATGTTTTTTATAGTTGTATTTGCAATTTCTTGGTCTCATTTGATAGAATGGAAGACATATTACAGAAATAGAGATGATTTTGATTGGTTTTAGCACTGGAAATGGCTTGAAACTGAGCTCAAAATAGCGGAAATGTTAAATTTTTGCCGATATTCAAGAGTAAACAAACGACCTCACACATCTAATACACGTCAGCTGGTGGGTCTAATATATATTCACAAATATGGTGATGATATTTATACAATTATTACAGTATTGCATAACAGTAAATCTTCTATTTTTTGGTGTGAATAAAAATTCATTATGTGAATAAAAAATCAAAATGGAATTTATTTGTAAAGCCTCAAAATGTAATTAATGAACAGAGGAAATGTTAGTTTAGTTCCAGGAATACCTACATTGTTTATTCTGGAGCCTATTTTGAAATTGGAATATTTTGAACTTTGTGTTAAATTGGCCAAATTAACAATTTCCGATCACTTTATTTTGTAGTTGAAACAGTTGACTTGGCGATTTCTTGTGCTCAATCGATAGAATAGAAGTAATACTAGTGAAATAGCTAAGAATTTGGTTGATTGGAATAATGTAATTGGCCTAAAATGGGAGTCAAAGTCGGCAAAATCGCCAATTCGTAAATATCGCTGACACATCAAAATTCGCGAGAGCATAATTTCGTCAATTTTCCACCAAATTTCGTACTTTTTGTTTTATTACCTTCACAAAAAGATTCTCTATGATTTCATAAGAAAAAATAAAATTTTTTTTTTTTTTAAATTCTTGGACACTGGTGCGTGACTTCAGATTTTGGCCTTGGACCCTGAAAGGGTTAATGATACTCAGCATGGATTCACAAGAGGCCGTTCTTGTCTAACTAATTTATTAACTTTCTTAAGTAAAGCTTTAGAGGCTGTTGATCACGATAAAGAATTTGATATTATTTACAGTGGACCCCCAAGTTTTGTGATTAATCTATTCCAGAGAGCCTGCCGAAAGTCAAAATTCAAGAAACTCGAAACCATTTTCCCCATAAGAAATAATGTAAATAAAATTAATCTGTTCCAAACACCCAAAAATATTAAAATAATTTTTTTTTTTTCAAATTAAATAAAGATTTACATACTGAAAACAATCAGAAATCAAGTACATGAATATAAAAAATAATAATAACATTACATTTACCTTTACTGAAGACTTCTGGGTGGATGGAAGACGGGAGGAGAGGATAGGAGGAAGGTGTACACTATTGTTTGGAAGGAGAATCTCCTTCCATTAGGACTTCAGGTAGCAAGTCCTTTTCTTGTGTTACTTCCCTTCTTCTTTTAATGCCACTGGGAACAACTTGAGAGTCAATGGACCCCTGTCGCACAAAATATCTGTCCAGAGAGGTCTGTTTCTGGCATTTCTTTATGATTTGCCTATAGTGGGACAAAGTTTTGTCACTGAACATGTTGCAGATATGGCTTGTTTCAGCTTGGTCAGGGTGATACTTTTCAACAAAACTTTGCAACTCATTCCACTTTGCTAACTTAATATATGTTAGTGTAAACGTGTTATCTAGCATTTATATGCATTTATAAGTGGAAAAAAAGGGTGTTCCATTTTACGGTGGTAGCCTGGAACCTAACCTGCCGTATAAGTGGGGCCCTACTGTATTTATTGAAGGAAGTCTGATTAAATGAAAAATGGGTATAATTGAAAACCACTGAATTAGTGAAATGCTGTAAAGCGAAGTGCTGTAAAGCAGGGCCCTCCTGTATTTCTGTTAGTGGATTTAGGTTTGGGAAGGACCTGTCATGTGTAGGTTAGTATGTCTGCTGCAGTGTTCCTCCTTTCATATGTTACGTTTAATATTTATAAAAAATAATCACTTAGATAAATGTAACTTACATTACGTCCAGTACTGTACTGCTGTGTTGCCATACCACAGTATTAGTTTACGTATATTTATCTTATACAGTGGTATCTCGAGTTACGAACTTAATTTGTTCCAGAAGGCTGTTCAAGTGCCGATACCGAATGAATTTCTTCCCATAAGGAAAAATGTAAATTAGATTAGTCTGTTTCAGGCCCCCAAAAATACACATACAAGAGCACTTACAAAAATACACTTACGTAATTGTTCGAGTTGGGAGCTGTTCAAAACTCAAGGTACCACTGTATTTCCAATAACTGAAGAACATTCTTTTCTTAAAAATTGTATTTATATATATTAAATTTTAAAGTTTTGTAAGTAATTTTGATATTATAACACAGTACATGTAGAAACATATGTTATCCTATTCAAACAGTCTGGATAAACAGGAGGTTTACTGTAGTGAAGGTAAGAAATAAAAGTTTACCATTAGGCTTGAAATATCCCTTCTCATAGACAGTGATACAGAGAACATCCTCGGAGAGTGACTTGACCAGGAACTGCATGGTGGAGTCCCATTTAGGATGAGGAGATGTTGCTATACTAGTGCGGTGAGCCTGTGACCCTAAGCTCACCTCACAGAATGATTGCAGCATTCCTGAAAACATGAATTCACCACATTTTTTAATACGTACTGCATATGAAAAAAATATCAATTAATTTCTTGAAGCATTTATAAATCAATAAACTAGTTTATTTAGAAAATTCATGTTTACACAATTTTCAAAATAATTTTAAGCAACAGGAGTCAAAAAGTGAGTTACAGTGGAACCTCAAATATCGAACTTTCTTCGGTCCAGAAGGCTGTTCAAGTGCCTTTACCGAATGAATTTATTCCCATCAGGAATAATGTAAATTAGATTAGTCCATTTCAGACCCTCAAAAATATACTTATAAAAGCACTTACAAAAATACACTTACATAATTGGTCGTGTTGGGAGAAGTTCGATTTTTGAGGTTCCACTGTACTTTGTAATTTTTTCATAAAATTATGTATAATTTCTTTTTTTTTTTTTTACTAAATGTCAGCAACAGCCTAAGGCTAGCATAATGTGTTATTATCATGTAACTTTTAATATAGATGATAATACTGACTGTCCAGATGCAAGATAATGCAGCCTCCTTGCTACACTTCACACTTTAAATACCATCAATGCCAGTCTCCAAGACCTCTGTACCTTGAGTATAAGACCTCTGTACTGTGTGTATAAGACCTCTGTGCCTTGTACATAAGACCTTTGTACCTTGTGTATAAAACCTCTGTACCTTGTGTCCAAGTCCTCCACAATGTGTTCAAGATCTTCACACCTTGTGTTCAAGATTTTTACAACTTGTGTTCAAGATCTTTATTCCTTGTGCTCAAGATCCTCACACCTTGTGTTCAAGACCTTCATTCTTTGTGTTCAGGATCTTCACACCTTGTGTTTATTATAATCAAGACTAAGCACTGCACTTACAAGGGTCATACAGCACTGCAGGGTAAGGTGTGCTAACTGTATAATATGCTTGATCTGAAACTAGCAAGGGTAGAGAGTATAACAGAGGCAGAGTTAGTAAGGGAGATGAGGAGTGCTAAAGGAAGTACAGTGGGCCCCCAGCATTCGATGGCATCGGTATATGTTAAATCCGGTATTCGGTACATTTTAATGCAAAAATTTTCCCTCGCCACTCGTTAAAAAATCCGCCACACGCGATTCGTCCGGGATGCATCCACGTGAGTGCCAGTGTTTACAAGCCAGCCAGTGTGCTCGCATCTAAGCATACATTCGGTACATTCCATATTATCATAGTGTTTTTGGTGCTTCTTTCTGCAAAATAAGTCACCATGGGCCCCAAGAAAGCTTCTAGTGCCAACCCTGTGGTAAAAAGGGTGAGAATTAGTATGGAAATTAAGAAAGATTTTGAAGGGTTTGGGGCTAACCCTGAGAAGCCTATGCCAGTTGTGGAATCCATTGTGCCTACTTCAAAAATTAAGGAAATGTGTGCAAAGTGGGTTGAACTGCAAACCTTTATGGATGAAAATCACCCTAACACAGCTATTGCAAGCCGTGCTGGTGACTATTACAATGACAATGTTGTGGCCCATTTTAGACAAATCTTAAAGGAATGGGAGGTACAGAGCTCTATGGACAGATTTGTTGTGCGACAGAGGTCCAGTGGCTCTCAAGCTGGTCCTAGTGGCATTAAAAGAAGAAGGGAAGTAACCCCGGAAAAGGACTTGCTACCTCAAGTCCTAATGGAAGGGGATTCCCCTTCTAAACATTAACAACTTTGACACTCTCCCCTCCTCCCATCCCATCAATCATCACCAGATCTTCATTATAGGTAAGTGTCATGTATTCTATTGTTAGTAGAGTACTACTAACTGTGCATGTCTTCTTCAGTTTGTGTGCATTAAACTTAATATTTCATATGGTAAAACTTTTTTTTTCATAGTACTTTTGGGTGTCTTGCACGGATTAATTTGATTTCCATTATTTCTTATGGGGAAAATTAATTCACCTTCCGATAATTTTGGCATACGATGAGCTCTCAGGAACAGATTAATATCGTATACCGGGGGTCCACTGTATAATCAAAGGATATGTAATAAATCTGTTGCTGTTACAAAAATCAAAGAGGGAGTTTGAGTGGAAGGTGGGGCCATCAGCAAGAAGGGAAGATAAAGTAAGGGTGTTACAGAGGTGACGATGTTGGAGGTTAATTCTGTGTGCTTCCTGGTAGACAGAACAGTCCAATAGAATATGGCAAACTGAAAATGGAACCTGACAATTTGCACAGAGAGGAACTAAGCACCTGTCCATGAGATACCCATGAGTGAGACGTGTGCACCCAGAGGTAGGGACTGGCCATAAGGGCATTTGGGCAATGCCCAGTGGGCCACTGGGCTGGGTAAAAGAACTAAAATAAAGTCACAAAAAATGGAAGTCATAGCCACTGCACTAAGATTGAAATGAAAATGGAACATGCCTGAGGTGAGAAGTGAAAACACGCCTCTGGCCCTCAGCAGTTAATGAGCTGAGCTGATAAGTGACAGATGCCTGGGCCAGTTTTAAGACGCAGTCTACTTCTGTGTGTCCCTGATGCGAGGCCTGGAGAGTGTAGTCTCCCAACCACAACATCAATAAAAATAAGACCAGAATCCTAAACATGGCTTGATAGAACATAATTTGTTAAGAATCAATTCAGGCCAGCAACTGCAAAGGTGGTTAGAGGTTACATCAAAATAAGCCTGAGAATGGAATATCCCTATATGAAATGTGACAGTCACGTACCCCTGACCATGTAGCAAAGTCTGCCTGCTCATTACCATGAACATCAACATGCCTAAGGACCCAGGAGAAAATGATTTCTTTGATTTTGCTAGAAAAGCTGCACAGCAAAAATTTTAATCTTTATAGAGAATAAACTTGATTTGATTTGATTTGAACTAGGAAATGAGCTGAATTAAATTTTTGGATAGCTTTCAAAGCACTAAAGGAGTCTGAGACTACCACAAATGCTGAAGTAGGAGTGGATGCAATACATATAATCAGCTAGCTTTTTTGCAGCTGAACTGTGAAAACGCTAGCCGAGTCTAATAAATAACCACACACAACACTGTCAATAGATGGGGTTGTAAGAGAAGTGAATGCGAGAGTCTTGGCAAGAGGCGTGGAGTTAAAAGATAAAGAATCACACACAAAGTGGGAGGTGTCACAGTTGCTCTTTGCTGATGACACTGTGCTCTTGGGAGATTCTGAAGAGAAGTTGCAGAGATTGGTGGATGAATTTGGTAAGGTGTGCAAAAGAAGAAAATTAAAGGTGAATACAGGAAAGAGTAAGGTTATGAGGATAACAAAAAGATTAGGTGATGAAAGATTGGATATCAGATTGGAGGGAGAGAGTATGGAGGAGGTGAATGTATTCAGATATTTGGGAGTGGACGTGTCAGTGGATGGGTCTATGAAAGATGAAGTGAATCATAGAATTGATGAGGGGAAAAGGGCGAGTGGTGCACTTAGGAGTCTGTGGAGACAAAGAACTTTGTCCTTGGAGGCAAAGAGGGGAATGTATGAGAGTATAGTTTTACCAATGCTCTTATATGGGTGTGAAGCATGGGTGATGAATGTTGCAGCGAGGAGAAGGCTGGAGGCAGTGGAGATGTCATGTCTGAGGGCAATGTGTGGTGTGAATATAATGCAGAGAATTCATAGTTTGGAAGTTAGGAGGAGGTGCGGGATTACCAAAACTGTTGTCCAGAGGGCTGAGGAAGGGTTGTTGAGATGGTTCGGACATGTAGAGAGAATGGAGCGAAACAGAATGACTTCAAGAGTGTATCAGTCTGTAGTGGAAGGAAGGCGGGGTAGGGGTCGGCCTAGGAAAGGTTGGAGGGAGGGGGTAAAGGAGGTTTTGTGTGCGAGGGGGCTTGGACTTCCAGCAGGCATGCGTGAGCGTGTTTGATAGGAGTGAATGGAGACAAATGGTTTTTAATACTTGACGTGCTGTTAGAGTGTGAGCAAAGTAACATTTATGAAGGGGTTCAGGGAAACCGGCAGGCCGGACTTGAGTCCTGGAGATGGGAAATACAGTGCCTGCACTCTGAAGGAGGGGTGTAAATGTTGCAGTTTAAAAACTGTAGTGTAAAGCACCCTTCTGGCAAGACAGTGATGGAGTGAATGATGGTGAAAGTTTTTTTTTTCGGGCCACCCTGCCTTGGTGGGAATCGGCCAGTGTGATAATAATAAAAATAATAATAACACTGTCAAGGAACACTGCTGCAAACCCAACACTGCCACAGGATTTAGAACCATCAGTGTAAACTGCAACAACACGAGAATGAGACCAGAAGTGGTTAAGAAGAAGGAGCGAGAATCACCTGTAGGTATTTGAGCTTCTGTGCATGGCAGTGGGGAAGAACAGACTTGAACTGTCGGAACCTTCCAAGGGGGAAAGAGAAAAGTTAGATGCTAGATGAATATATAAAGGGGGCAATTGAAGAGAAGCTAAGAACAAATAAAGATCAAGAGAAAATGGATGGATTAAACAGGGGCAACAAACAAATAATGGACCCCTACTAATGTTCGTTACCATCCTGTGTGTAGAAGGATTGTGAAGGTCATGAGAGCATGTAAAATATCGAAGGCAATGGGCATCATGCCAATTGTTCAAAGATGGAGCATTCACCTCTGCATATAGGCTCTTGACAGGGGAGGAACAAAAAGCACCTAGACACAAAAGTGATCCCTGAAGATGGATGGGATCAAGTTTTGAAAGAGTTGCGGGAGAGGATGCAGAATATATCTGGTCGCCATAATCAAGTTTCAATAAAATTAGGGCTGAATGAAGTTGAAGGAGAATTTGATGCTCTGCGAGAGTTTTAAACAGGGAGAGTTTTAAGGAGGTTCAGATGGCTATAGCAAGTTGCTTACAGGGAGGTAATGGGGGGTTTTCAAACAGGAGACCGAGAAATCTGACCATAACAAATTCAAGAATCTGGGAGCCATACAGGTATAACAGTATTAGAGACAACAGAACATCTAGTAAGAGTAATGTGGTGCTCAATGGGTAACATAGTTAAAGGTTTAGTAAGGTGTGAAGGAGGTGATGGGAGGTGGA